TTTAATAATAATAAAAATTAATTTTTTACCAATATTATTTATTTTTTAATATTAAATTTCTATATCATTCTATATTTAATATTTTTTCAGGGGAATAGATCAAACCATTTTGCATATTATTTTATTTAAAATAAATGTTGCAATATTGCATATTATTTTATTATATTAATTATATAATAAAATATTATTATATACTATTAATATATTATTTATTATATTAATATATACATATTATTTTATTTAAAAAATTATTATACACCTTTTTTTTAATTATAGTATTTTTTTTTAACTTAGAAATTATATTACTATTAATATATATTTATTTAATTTTAATTAATAATTTTTTAAATTATTAATTTAATTAAAAATTTTATTCGATGAAAAATTAAATCTTATTTAATATATAAATATATAATTAAATATATAAATTTGATTTGATGATATGTATATTATTAAAAATTATTTTATATTATATTATTACATTGTATTATATTTTAATTAATAATATTAGTTATATATATATATATATGTATATAATTATTTATTCACAAATATCTTTCTAATTCTATTATTGACAAACCCTTTTTTTTTTTTTTTTAAGGAAACGATGATAACATTTTCAATTTGCAATGATTAATTTAATTCGATGAATTTAATCTGATGATTTAATCTACGAAATTATCTGTGACTTGTTCATTGATGAAATACAAAAAAAAAAAATTAGAAAAAAATCATCATCATCATCATCATCATCATCATCGTTAGAAGATTCCACCTACTCATCGAATTTACAAACCACAAAAAAAAAATGAAATTTTTTCTCAATCAATTATCAGACTTGTTCGATGAGAATAAAAAAAAAAAGTAAAACAAAAAATGATTAACTGATTGAACTGATAAATTTCTTCACACTCTCCACCCTCACTTTTACACCTACCTTCCTTTCAAAAAAAAAAAAAAAAAAAAATTGCAATCAATTAGAGTGATGTGTTGTAAGAAAAACTAAGAATCAGTTGATTAACTTCATTGGTGTCACAATTTCCTAAAAAGATGCATCAACCAAATAAGAAAGTTCATAATTTTGTTCGTAAAAGAGTGAGAACCACTAACTACCAACCACCATTACCATCACTATTACTATCATCATCATCATCACCATGGGAGAGGAATATTTCCTATGAATCCGAAACGAAATCCATTCCGTGTCTTTATAAGTCCATTCATGAAGAGCGAACACAAGGTGAGTCATATCTTCGTGCAGTGTGTTAGTCATGCTCGATAAAGAACGTGTTATAAACAAGTACTATGCTTTTTTTCTTTTATCCTTTTTTATTTTCTTATATAATTTTACGATAAAGGAATATTATTTATTTTATCCCCGTTCCACCAAATGGTCTGATTTTTAAATGGTCAAACAAACAAAAGAAAATGTATTTATATTTAAAAAAAAATTACAAATGATATATTTGAGAATAATATAGGTAAATCTAAAAATTCTATTCGATGAAAAATTAAATATATATATATTATTATAGATTATTTTATTTTATATTATTATATTATATTATATTATATTATTATAAAATTT